TATATATATAGATACTATTTCATAATCCGGTTAGTAGTTGTGGTGTCTTCTGATCATATTTAGGCTTAGGATAACTCAAGTTGAAGTCAGATTAGATTATGATTAGGTTCAAGTGATTGAAACCAATATGAGGACTCGAGAGACCCCTGAGTCAACATGCCCAATGGGGTCCAAACACATCATTTGGATATATATATATATATATATATATATATATATATATATATATATATATATATATATACTGTTTTCTAATCCAGGTAGTAGTCTCTTGATCAAAAGAGAGCTTACGTATTTACAGTGAGGCCGAAGGACATGTAGTGTACTATTATGCACAACTGGTGGCAGATATATATAGAGACACTTCACTAATCCGATTGGGAGGTATCATCTCCGAATCCTATTTAGATTTGGAATAATTAGAGTTGAGTTTGATTATGGTTGGGTTTAAATCATGCAAACCAACCTAAGGGTTTTGAGAGACTTCTAAGTTATACTACCCAGAATCTGATGAAATTAATTGATAAGTGTTTATGATTTGATGTGTTTTTAGTAATGTAGGATGCTTTGATCAGGATGAGATAATTAAAGTAGGAAGAATCATGTTGGGCCGGAGGAAAACATGTCAGAAGATTGGACGTCGAGCCAGATGATTGGTCGACGTATCGACAAAAGGCTTTGGGTCATGGATTCGGACATCGGGCCAAGAAGAGTGGATATTGTGCCAAGGATATCGAAGTTCCGTAGGTCAACTGGCCGATTGGACAATAGGTCGCAAGAGAGAATGATGCGTCGAAAAATTAGACGAAGCGTCGATGGACCAATGACATGCCGAACAACATGATTTATGCTTAGTATTAATTATCTAGATCGAAGTATGTTTTTACATGTGCAGGATTAACTATGATAACAAGGCATAAAGCAAAATGAAGTCCCGGAGTCAAGGACGTGATTTTGTTGGGAGTTCGAGAGTTCATCGGAAGTTCTACGGGAACCAACCGAGAAGTCCAAGAGCTTACCAAAGAAGCTCGTCGGAACTCGTTAAGAAGATCTTCGTAAAGTCCAGGAACTTGCCCGAGAGTTCGCTGGAAGATCGCCAGAAGAAACCAAGACTTACAGACTTGTTTAGCTTAAGTATGCTTTAGATTTCGTAGTTAGCACAATTAGGGGTCAGTTGGGCCCATGTAAGGACTATGTTGGGCCCAATGATATGCCCAAACAATATCTCAAGAAGCGACACCATTGTGGCTCAATCTCCGAGACTATATCAAGCGATGGTACCGCCAGTCTGGGCGATGGTATCGCCCCTGGTAGGGTGTCAGGCGGTGGTACCGCCCAGTATAGTGTTAGTGTCAGATTGACAGTGGCGATGGTATCGCCCGTACCTAGGAAACCCGGGATGAGATGTTTTTAGGCTCCAAGTTTGAATTAACTTGAGGCCTATAAATACCCCTCTCATCCATGGCTCACATAAGCATAGAGAATTTAAAAAGGAAAAAACGCTGTAAAAATCTCTTGTGAGAATCCTCATCTAGTCCTAAGTGTTAGAATAGTCAGCGAGAGAAGTGAATGCTTGTAAAGGTTGTATTCTAAACTTGTAAAAAGGAGAAGAGAGGTGTAAGACGGAGGTTGATCTTCGCCTATTAAAGGAAGATCGATAGTGAATACCGGTGGCCTCGACGAAAGAGGAATCGATGAAATGGATGTAGGTCACGACGACCGAACCACTCTAAAATCTGGTTTGCATTTCTATTTGTGCAATTTATCTTTATTGCAAACATCTTTAATTGCTTATTACCTTCGATATATTTACGAACTGTTTGAAGTTAAGAACTTTACAAAATGATTTTTGTCGGAATCAATTTTAATCGAAACGTATACTTTTGAAATTACTAAAGTTTTTGAATTTAGACGAATATGTATATAGGCTTGAGATAATTTGAATTGAAGTCATTTTAGGATTGGGTTAAGTGACGCAAACTAACATGAGGGCTCGAGAGACCCTTGAGTCAACCTGTCAAATGGGGTCCAAACGTATCATTTGGATATATATATATATATATATATATATACTATTTCATAATTCAGTTAGTAGCTGTGGTGTCTTCCGATCATATTTAGGTTTAGGATAACTTAAATTGAAATCATATTAAGATTAGATTCAAGTAAAGTAAACCAATATGAGGACTCCAGAGACCCCAAAGTCAAAATGCCCAAAGAGGCCCAAACACATCATTTAGATATATATAGAGATATTATTTTCTAATCCAGTTAGTAGTCTCCTACATATTTAGGAGATAACTCGAGTTAGAGTCGAATTAGAATTGGATTCAACTAACGTAAACTAACACGAGGGCTCGAGAGACATTGTTTCCTAATCCAATTAATATCTATAGTATCTCCGTATTTAGGTTTGGATAACTCGAATCGAAATCAAATTTAGATTAGATTCAAAGTGACAAATCAACACGAAGCGTCATTTGAAGAGATCCCTGACTCGATCTACCCAAACGAGCCAGAAGCGTCATTTGAGCTCTTGGCCACGGTTTGCTTGATGAGAGATTACGTGGTATAAATAACGTGTCATATCGGTGCGCGGATAAATCGTAATGGGAATTTATACGCTGCCACAAAAAAACAATACAGGTATTTCTCACCACCGGTGCGTCATGACCACCGCTCCGTGGCTACAGTGTTCACGTGGCCAACTTTGGTTCCCACACTCGTCCGGATGGCGGAGGCAGACGCCACGTTTCATCTCTGCGTCCTCTCCACAACAGGTTGGTCGGCGACCGTCGTCCACACACACCCAAATAATACTAAAATAATGTAACCCGCACAAAAAAGCGGTGGCTTCGACCGGCCGATCGGTATCGTATCACAGGAACGCTTTAAGATTCGCATTCGTGTCTGATCTACGGTTGCCATGTGGTTCACACCGAATTGGACGCGGGGAGTGCTCTCGAGGTGAAATATAACAAAAGTGCTCCCACCGCATGGATGTTTTCTAGTGGTGAGTGAATTCATCTTGATACTTGTGTTTATAATGCTGGTTGGGGGAGTAGGTTAGCGGACTGCACTGCTAAGCTTCCCTAAAGTGAAACAAAAAGACGCCGGCTCCTGCTTTGAGAGACTTCAGCAAAGCAACTGTCGGTCTTCCCGAGTCTCCGGCGAACGCAACACCGACGTAGGTGGGTAGATCTCGTCTCCTCTCCGCTCTCAGGAGACCGAGAGAGAAGAGAGAGCGGGATCTCTCGATCCTTCCTCCATGGAAGCGGCGCCTCAGTTCCTCCAGTGCGGCTTCGAGCCCTTCCGCCGCTCGCCCTTGGCGACAGCCGCCCCGCAGTGGAGGACGCTCCGACGCCGATCAATTCGTCTGAGATCTAGGTCTCCACGATCGGGAGTCTTCGCTGTGGCGACGGAGCCTACGACCGGTGGTGCCGCTTCGTCTTCTTCTTCTAATTCTGCCTCTTCTCCTCGGTCCGCCTCGTTTGGTTCCGTCAATGGTGCCGCCTCCGGCGTAAGATTTCTGTTAGCGATTTTGGATTCGGGGAGTTTGGTTTTCTTTTTGAATTTGTTGATTGAGGGTTGGTTGTGCTGGTTTCTTGGAAAACTGGAAGAGGTTTGGCAACGTGTCGGAGGAGATAAAGAAGGTGAGAAAGCAGATGGAGGAGGACGAGCAGCTGGCCACGCTGATGAGAGGACTTCGAGGTCAAAACCTCACTGACGTTCAGTTTGCAGATGAGAACATCCGGCTTCGTCTTGTCGAGGTACCTTTTTTTTTTTTTGCAATTGACGCGTGTAGCTTTTCCATAATTCGCGCGATCTTTTGAATACTTTAATAGATTGGTAACACCTGATTGATGCCCAAGCGAACTAATGCAAGATCCATCAAAACCTTGAAGCATGACCAATCTGATATTTTAGGTGATATCAGTGATCGGACAGTTGGTGCATCAAGAATTCTTTACATGACTGAATTTTCATTATAAATCGTGAGTCTTCAGATCGGATTAGTTGCTGCATTTTAACAATATTTTAAGTATCCTCCAGAGTTGTTTACACGAAAAGGTAAAATTCACATCGCGGACATGACTTTTGAGTTGTCCATTGTCTTTGTTCAGGTCAAATCGTGTGGATACAATCTTTTGACTAGGTAGTGGAGTTGAAGTCACTTGGTAGGAAGATCAAGATCTTTTGTTTGAAAATGCAGTTTTACTTCTTGATGGTTTCTGATACTTGTTTAGGTACCAGCTGTGAACAGCAATGAAGCATTGCCACTTGTGTATGATCCTGACATAATTGCATCCTACTGGGGAAAGCGCCCTAGAGCTATTTCCACACGGATTATACAGCTGCTGTCTGTAGCAGGTGGCTTTCTGTCTCATTTAGCTTGGGACTTGATTAACAAGAAGATCGCAGAGGTAAAAATATAGCCACATATAATCATCTCTCCACTGTTCTCGCTGCATCTTGTCATTATTTACCAAACAGGAGGCATCATCTTCTAGCTCTGCTTATTGTTCTTCTGTCATATTTGACATTTCTAATGTAGTTCTTTTCTTAAATTTTGCACTATATAGCTTTTGCAGCACTTTAGATTTTTGTTTATGTCGAATCCACTGGACATTGTCCACTATGTTCTTAACAATACATAATTGCATATATCTTGTGATCACCCCATTTAATCCTATATCAGAAGTGGGATGAGGGTTACGAACCATATAGGGTTAGATGGGTCTAAAGTTGCTCACTTGAGCTTAAGTATTTTGTGGGTAGCTCAGCCCTCATCAAGTTGATGAGTCAATTAACAAATGATATCTGGGCTGACCTATTATTATGAATGATGAGAGGTACAAGTATGAAAGGGTCATCCATGGATGGTGTTTGATATAAATTCAGATTATATTTACATAAAGGTGATTTGTGATGGGGCACAAATATGAAAGGGCTACTCATGGACGGAGTGTTTGCTATGAATTCATATCCTATTAACTTACAGGTGATAACTTGAAACTCCTTGTTTGTGTGTCTATCACAGCCTATTTATTGTGAAGTGTTACTCTTGCAATACAGCAATGGCTGTTGAGGCTTTGTCTTGAAGATGTTAAGAAGAGTGTGTTGAACATCAAACATTCAATCAAAACATCAAGCACATACCTAACACAATTAAGCATCGATTTGTCCTTGGTACTTCTTCAAAACCAATTTTCTGCTTCATTCCTTAGCATGATAAGCTCAATGCAATTAACCCTCGCTGATCATGCATCTTATTCCCGAATGTTCTAATTTGACTCTCTCTCTCTCTCTCTCTATATATATATATATATGTGTGTGTGTGTGTGTGTGTACTTCATGGTTTCTAAGCTACTTTTAGTACTCGGTTTAATTGAGGTGCATTTCCCTATATATGTGATGTATGTTGATTTTATATCTGCAATTCCTCACATTTGGTTTCGTGTGTTCTTCTCTAGAATGAGGTCGCACGGGCTATTGAATTAAGGGAAATAGTAACGTCACTGGGTCCAGCTTACATAAAACTTGGCCAAGCTTTGAGTATTCGACCAGACATATTATCACCTGCTGCAATGACTGAACTGCAGAAGCTATGTGATAAGGTAATATGGTATGTTCGAAGTGTTTTTCATGGTTAATGTGGACTAAATAACATATGTTTTTCTGGGTGAGATATCTGACTCTTCTTTAGTTGAAAAAAGTTGAGATTCTACACCATGAGACAAGTAGGAGAGTCACAATTTTGTGATTTTCTTATGAAAAATTAACTATAGTATTTTTAGTTCAATGAATTTCATTATACCAGGTTTTCTTTCAGTATCCTAATATATGACATGCTGTTTTCTCCATTGCTTTCCTATTGTTTTTCTGGAAGTCATTACAATTATTTTGTGGGCATTCCTTAATCTTTCTGGTCAATAAAGATGACTTATCTATTATATGCTTTTACCTTTGCTAAATTTGAAGTTTCGTGTTTGGTACTTGAAGGTTCCTTCATTTCCAGATGATGTTGCGATGGCCCTTATTGAAGAAGAACTTGGGCAGCCTTGGTGTAACATCTACTCTGAACTGACACCATCCCCAATTGCTGCTGGTAATCTCATCTACACATTACGGCAATGAGCTTAGAATATGTTTTTGCTGTACTACTTCATGTGTTTTGTTGAAAATGTAACTTTGAGCAATACTACTATATGACTTTTTGTCGCCCCCTTTGTTTTCAGCATTATTTTTTATATTCATAAGGTCATAAGCTATTGAGAGGAAACTTTATATATGCAGCATCTCTGGGACAAGTTTACAAGGGTCGCCTAAAAGAAACTGGCGAGTTGGTGGCCGTCAAAGTACAGCGACCTTTTGTTCTGGAGACTGTCACCATAGATCTCTTCATTATTCGTAAACTGGGACTGTTTTTGCGAAGATTTCCTCAGGTAATTGGTCAGCTACTTGGTTTGCTGCTTCTGAAAGGCTGAAACTATTGCGTAATTTGTATCTTGTTATGACCTATCAGATCTCGATTGATATTGTTGGTTTGGTGGATGAATGGGCTGCCCGCTTTTTTGAAGAACTTGATTATATAAATGAAGGAGAAAATGGAACTCGCTTTGCTGAAATGATGAGAGAAGACCTTCCTCAGGTACATTTCTATAAGTACTAATTATTACTCTGTTCAGTAAAGGATCTTTTTCCTTGTTATACAAAGCAAGTTTTTGATGAACAAAAAACTGTAGTTTTGTATACATTGGTTCCTCAGGATAAAAGGAAAATTGTTAATTTGGCTCCAAATATAGGAATCTTGACATTTTATTTCCAACTAGTGGTTCTAAATCATTAATATATAATCAGTAACAGAATAATCACTAATCTACCTACATTTCAATGGTAAATTTCATTTCTCCAGCCATTGGATTGTGTTTTTCAGTAGTAGGACTTGCATGCCAGATTCATCCACAGAAACATTATGATCCAGAAATTCTATGACCTATGCCACTGCTGCCGCAAGAATCACTTTTTCTAGCATTTTATTTCATATTCTTTTGTTAGTGAAAACATTCTCATGCGAAATAAGGATGATCTAGATATTTCTTGTTTCTCACAAGTGAAACCTTTCTCAAAGAAATTTTTTTGATAGTTGATCCAAAGAAACTATGGCAATTGCCTGACATACCAAAATACTTATATCTCAATTTTCTTCTTAAAGATGTGGTGAAAATGTAGTGGTTTCCCATTCCTTGCTAAACTGATATGTAAGACGATGTTCTTGTTT